AGCAACCCAAGATTTTTTAGAAATAAAGGTACTTTCTAGTAATTTCCTGTGTAATTTCTAGTAATTTACCCTGGCGGAGCTAAAGTTTACAAAGTTAAGAGGAACACAATGAATTTAGAGTATTTAAAACCTCTCATTTATAAATTCCCATTATTCAATCAGAAATCACCGATCATGAAAGAAGGAAAATATAAGTAACATAGAACAGAAAAAGTTAATAGAAGCAGATCCAAAAACATGTCATTGTTGGAATTAATGGACTTCAATAACTAAAGATATACCAATAAAAATATGAAAAAATAGAGATGGAGTGATGGGATTTGGGGAGAAATAGTGGATCTAAAGAACCAACCAAAAGTTGAATTGAATTGTTTGAATTTTAAACAGTGACTGAATGAGCTTAGCAAAGATTAAACACTATGAAAGAAATACCTTGAATATATGTCAATGGAAATGACTTGAATTGATATGCTAAGAGAAGAAAGATTAAGAAAACAAAGTATTTCAATGGCTTTAAGACAGTATCAGTTAGTATGATATATATATTTATACATATATATAATATATATGTGTATGTATAAATATATATCATAATAATATACACATAATAACACATACGTATATTATTATATATACATATATTACATATGCACATATATATACTTATTCTATATGTATAATATATATACATATATGCATGTCAAGAGAAGAAATTTAAAAATTCCAGGGAAATCTTGGCAAAAAGTTAATTTTTAGTTTGATTGAAAACATCATCCCCACATCCAAGAAGCTTAATAATTCTCAAAATTCAAAAAAAACAAAACAAAGCAGAGTCTAAGCTTATCAGAAAGCATTGAAGATGAAGCCTAAAGAGAAAGCTCCTCTAACCATCAGAGGAAAGAGTGGCATAGGTGGAGAAAATTTAAATGTGTGGCAACTAATTTTTAAGTGAAAATCTGAAGCAAGAAAACAATAGAATAACCTCTATTTGTTGATGACAGAAAATGTTGTCAATTTAGAAGTCTATATCCTTTGACATATGGGATGAAATTAAGGCTTTTCACAAAAATGAAAGGTGAACAAGTGTGCACAGTCAACAAATCTATACTTCAAGAAGTTTTGGATTAAGTTTCTTAGGTTTAGGGAAATAACGTCAAAAATGAATTCAGATCAACAAAACAACAACAAAAACTAGAAAACACTGAAAATAACAAAGGTATAAAAACTCCTTCTCTTTTCCATCCTACATTTGAGGAACAAGCTGTGTAAGGTGGCACATGCCTGCAATCCCAGCACTTGGGAAGGCAGAGGCAGGTAGATCTGTGTGAATTCGAGGCCAACCTGGTCTAAGAAGCAAGTTCAGGACACCCAAGGCTACACAGAAAAACCTTGTCTCAAAAAAGCAAAACACAAACAAACAAATAGACAAATAAATTATTAATTAAAAATTGAGGAACATGCTATTAGATATTTAAAACAACAACAAAGGCAACATATCATAGAATTTAAAAGATACAAAAAATAAAGTGTACAACAATAGTTCAAAGGCCAATAGAGTTAAACACAAATATGAAGCTATGTGAGATGATATGATACTAATTCAAGATACACTAGGATAATTTAAGGATGTATCTTTCAATGGCTACAGAAGCCACTGAAAGGTAAGTATGAGAAAATGTAACTAAGAAGCCAGTGGGTACAATGGAATGGTGTAACATGAAAGGGGGATGAAAGGATGGACAAAACAATGAACAGAGGCCTAATAGATAAAAAGTAGCAAGATAATAGTTAAAGTTAACCATATCAATAATTACATTAAATGTTCCTGGACTACACCCTTCAATTAAAACAGAGATTACAGAATTGATTTAAAAAAACAAAAAACAAAAAACGTAAAACCCAGAAAAATCTATATACAAGAGGTATACTTTAAGGATAAAGATACAGATAGATCAAAACTTAAAGAGTGGTTCTAGTCTACAGTCTGTCATGAGGTACTTAAAAGTTGTTACTTCATCCAAACAACAACAACAACAAAAACAACAAATAAAAAGCTGTACAAACTGAAAAAGTAACAAATTTGATCATCTTTCACTCTTCTCATTCCAAACATAACAGTTGGAGAAACAGACAGGAGGATACAGAAAATCATAATTTACCAGAACTGAAAGTCAGTTCTGTGGAAATCAGTCTGGAGGAACCTGTATTGTAGTTAACAGATTTGGAGGTTTCTGAGTGGATAAACTTGAAGGATAAAAACTGGTGAATTCTACAGGAGAGGGAAGCTCACACTTGCTTTATCTCCAGATGTCCCACGAAGTTCTCAAAATGAAGATCAGAGAACAGACTCTATAATCTTCTGGTGTGCTGAGAACTCATTTTAAAACGGTAAGGGATTCTCTCCCTCTCGACACACCCAACCTGCTGGGTGAGAGCTAGCTGACATAAAAGAAGATGGACATACCCAACTACAGCCCTCTCCTGCCTTCTCCATAGAAGCAGGGGAGTAATAACGTCCACCCTACATGAGTCACCCTGAATCACTGATGGGGAGGAATAAATGGAAAAACAGATGTGTCTGTAAATTTCACAGCATGGAGGTACAGCCTCACTAAAAATTCTCATCACAGGACTAGAGAGCAAATTTCCTTCCCAAACCACCTTACTAAAAACCCACTGGCCGCGGCTTCTCTTACTGGATTCTGTCTACCTTTTAACAGAAAGTCACAAGGCATACTGACGGGCAAAACTGGTACAGAGAACTGAAAAATACATTAGAGTTAGAGCCGCATATGAAATTATCAGATCCGATTTTAAAATAACCACAATTAATAATCCAAGATCTATCATAGACATCGCGCAAGGACAGATAAAGTATTAAGAGATGGAAATTCTCAAAAAAAAAAAAAAAGATAAAAAGTGCTACGCTTTTTCTCAATAAACACAACATCAGAATTGAAGAATGGCTTTGATAATCTTACCAGTAGATTAAATGTGGCTGAAGAAAGCATCCCTGGTATTAAGAATATGACAACAAGAATTCACAAAACTTAGAAAAAAATGGTAAAAAATTGTAGAATAGGATATTAAAAAATTATTTAACAAACAAAAGAGGTAGTTTATATGTCATAGGATTCCAGGAGAAGAGGAGGAGGAGAAGCAGGGAACAGAAGCAATATTTGAAGTAATGATGATTAATATTTCCTCAAATTAACATCAGATGTGAAACCACAGAGGCACAAACCAAACCAAACAGAATATGTCAGAAAAGCAAAACCAAATGCTACATTTAGGAATATGGTATTCCAATCACCGAAGACCAAGGACAAAGAAAAATTCAGAAAGAAGCCAGAGGCGAAAACACTTTATATCTACAGGAGAATAAATGCTATTTAAATTGTGAGAAACTACACAAAACAGATAAGTATCTGAAGTATTGAGAGAGTTCACCAACACACACACACACACACACACACACACACACACACACACACGTCATTTCTGATGACATACATACATTTCTGATATATACATATATATGTGTATCATCAGAAATGACGACAAGCCAGTTATAGTGCCACACACATGTAATTTCAGCATTTGGGAGGCTGAGGCAGAAGGACCTCTAGCTTGAAGTGAGCTTGAGCTCTACAGTGAATAGGTGGTCAGCCCAGCCCATGCTATATACAGAGAACTATTCTCAAGTCTCTACCCACCCACTGATCTCCATGACTACCTTTAAATAGAAAAGGAAAAATGAGAAAGGACTGACTTACTCAAGAAAAAAAATTCTGGAAACTTGATACAGGTAGGCCTGCCTTGAAGGGAGTATTAAAAAGAAATTCCTCAGAGAAAAAAACAAAACAAAACAAAACAATAATATAAGTCATGAGCTTAAAGCTTTTGGAGAACAAAGACTGTCAGAGAAGAAATAATATAAGTAAAATATAAACCTTCATTCTTATTATTTTATTTTTAAAAGGTTTTAATTTAGTACTTGAGTGTGTTTCTATGAGTGTATGTCACATTTGTGAGGTAGCTGCAAAGAGTGGAAATGGGCATAGGATCCCCTGGAGCTGAAGCTACAGGACTTGAGCTAAGGGTGCTGGGAATCAGTCTGAGCTCCTCTGAAGAGCAGCAATTACTCTAAACTGCTGAGTATTCTAATTTGATCTAAGAAAGCAAAGGCACCAACACATGCTATGTTTAGAATTTATGTGTAAGTGAAGTTAATAACAGGGATCAAGGACAGAAGAGAGCTGTTAGGGCTCTTCTAATATTTGAAGTAGATTTTTTTTTAAAGATTTATTTATTATCTATGTAACATTCTGCCTGCACACCAGATCTTACTATAGATGGTTATGAGCTACCATGTGGTTGCTGGGAATTGAACCCAGGACCTTTGGAAGAACAGCGAGTGCTTTTAACCTCTGAGCCATCTCTCCAGCCCCTTGAAGTAGATTTTTACTGACTGCAAATGTACATTGGGAACTCTAAGCAAAATAATAAAAGTAGCTTTGAAAACTAAAATTAATTTTCTAAGGAAGGAGAGAAATGAAGTCATAAAATGCTCAATAAAAACTACAAAAGGAAAAAAAAGAATATAAAACAAAATAGAAAAAAACAAGCACTAAAGAACAACAATAATAAACATGGTAGATATTAATCCAAACAGACCATTAATCATATAAAGTTTTATAGTATTTTTATATTTATAAATGTATGAATATTCTTATTAATATATTATTAATCACTAAGATTAAAATGTATTCATTTCTGTAATTTAAATTAATTGCATATTATTTATATTAAATAAAGTTAAGTAATTTAATAAAAATAAATTATATTACTATTAAAACATTATCAGGGTGTATAAAAAACAACATTCAACTACTCATAATCTATAATGAACCTATCTTAAATGTAAAGATATGTGTAGATTAAGATCAAGAGAAGGGAGAAAGATACCATAATAAAACTAATGAAAGAAAGCAAGTGTTTACCCTTTGACAATGGCCAAAGAGTCACCTTGTTGGTGGTGTTGTTCTTATATCAGTTAGGGACAGAGCAGAAAGCAGGCCTTCGTTCATCCTAGCTTTATGTCTGGCTTAGTGGCCAAAGCTGTTTTATGCCTACGACACATAAAAATCAAATCAAATCCAGGCAGCACAACACGAGAGGAGGAAGACAGTCAGAGACCTGTCTTCTGCCATGCTACCCACAGACCTGCTCTCAGGTGCACAGCACAGGAGGACCAGGCTGTAGACACCAGGCTTGCTGCCACACCACCCAGGAACCCACCAGCCTCGGGAGAGCCACCACAATGTGTGAGTATGTGGTGAGTGGCAGAGGTGGAGAAGTGATCCTACCCCTTTCCACCTCCAACAGTCAGAAAAGCTGCCCACAGGGTCGTGAGTGCGGGAGAGCTAACCCTGTCCCTCACCAGCTGCAGCACGCCTAGGGGAGACAGCACAGCAGAGCTAACCCTGGTGGCCGGTCGCAAGTGAGCCACTCGAGGATGTGAGCTGCTGCCCACTCTGCTGCCATGAGGTGTGGCCTGGGTATGTGTTGAGTGTTGCCATCTGTCCCTTGCCACTTGCCACCTGAGGCAGTCGGGAGAGCTAACCTCTGGGTCATGAGCGTATGTGAGCTGGCTCTGCCCCTTACCAGCTACAGAACTTGGGAGACTGGGCCCGGAACCTTGACTGGGCAGTACAGTGGAGCTGGCTCTGGTGGCGTGGGTGCGGGTGAGCCAGCCATGAGGGGATGTAAGCAGGTAGAGCTGACCCTACCTTCTGCTGATGGCGGCGTTGGGTAGTCTAGCTGGAGCACTGCTAAAGAGCTCACCCTGGTGATGGGGAGAAGGGAGAGCTGGCAGGCTGACCAGCTCAGCCTCCACCCAGGCCCAGATCCAGGGCTCTAAGTGGGGTCTGAGTTGGCCCACCCCAAAATCTGTATCATCTGCAAATGATGAGACACATGAATGATTGGGATCAACAGTCTTACTGATCCAAAACTGTAAGATCTCCACAACACAGAGCAACAACAGGATAACTCGGAGAAGTCCTGTTGAAGATCTAAAACTGATGATATCACATGAGCCAGAGATCTTGAACCAGAGCAATAACTCATGGCAATGAACACTTGTAAGGTGAAGATGTTTGGGCAGAAGGATATACTGTGTGACACCGTGACATACTACAGCTTCCACAATGAGACATTTTCTATGCTTTGTTTCTCTCTGTGTGTTTTTTTAATTGGGGGGAGGCATTGTAAGGGCGAAGGGCAGATATGAGGGGATGGGAAGAAGAGCAGGACTGGGTTATTGATGTGAAACTCACAAAGAATGAATAAAAATTTTTTTTCAAAGAAAGTAAGTGTTTATTCTAAATATCAGATAGAGTAGACTTCAGATAAATAAATGATAAGAAAAACAGAATTATAAGACCCATGTTGATTTTAAAAGCATAAAAATATTTAATGTGCATGCATGCAATGATTGTATCAAAATATATAAAGCCAAATAGAATTTCAGGGAGAAATACAGTAACCGACTTTGTTATATAGAATTGTAAGGAGTATATGGGAATCAATTTCCCTATAGCTCAATAGTTCAACTCCTTTGTATCAAAAATAGAAGAATCTAAAAGCCAGATAATAAAGTCAAATTTAACACCAAGTTTAACCAACTGGATATAATTGACATCTATACTATAGTTTATTCAACAATCAGAACAAATATTCTCATTAAGTGTACAAGAAACATTCAACAAGACAAATCACATTCTGTGCCATAAAACACTTTGACACTATTATTGTTTGGTTTTTGTTTTGTTTTGTTTAGTTTTGCATTTAGAAATCATTTACTATCTAATCTCAGACAATAATAGAATTGAACTAGGAGTCATTTAAAAAAAGAGTTGATGTGAGAAATCTTAAAATATTTAAATATTAAGCAATATATTCCAAGCAACACATGAAAAGCAAGAGAAATCAATAGGAACAAACTACCTTGATCTAAATAAAGGAAAATCAAAGAACAAAGACTGTGGGATATAGCTCAAATGATACTTAGAAACTCATGACATTACATGCATGTGGAAAAGATTTTAAAACAATAATCTAATCACCTTACAAAAACTAGAAAGAAGAGCAAATTAAATCAAAAGTATAAGAAAATAGTTTAAATCAATGAAGTTGAAAAATTGCAAGTCAATTGAAAAAAAACAATGAAACCAAAAAATACCTATTTGAAAGATCAATAAACTGACAGAGCATTTACAAAAAAGAGAAAGAGAAGACAAGACATTATTGATATCATAAATGATCAAGAGATTGTATTACGAATCTTTTAGACATAAAGATTTTGAAGAACTTTTGGTCTACCAATTTGGTAACCTAGAGGAAACAGAACGATTCCTTGAGAGATATGACCTACAAAAACTTAAACAAGGAAAACTATGCTGTCTATTAAATCTATAATCTAAAGCACCAAGTCCAGACAAGTTTACTTGTTAATTCTGTGAAATATTTATGAAAAATTATATCAATTCCGTACCATCTTTTCCAGGAAATGGAACTGAAACCTTTTTGATTATGAAAATCCAGCATTATTCACATGCCAAAACTAAATAAAGTCATACTTTAAAAAAGAAAAATACCTCATAAAAATACAAGCAAAAATTCTCAAAAAGAGGTTGAAAAATTGAATTCAACAATATATAATAGAAACTAGGCATGATGATAATGTGAAATTATTTAATTTCAGGCATTCATGGCTAGTGCAGCATTTGAAATCAATTAATGTATTCCATAGCATTACTGGACTAAAAGAATAAAAATTATCCACACACTACACTCCCATTCATCTAACAACACTTTGTAAAGTGGGAATAGAGAGAACATTGCAAGTAAAGAAAACATATAAAACCAAACATTAAATGTATACTTTAGGGTAGAAATACAGATTTCTCATAAAGATTAGAAACTATGCAAGGAGTTTATTTTTGCTATCTTATTAGAAATCCTGGAAAATTCATAAAGAAAAGAAAAATATGTGGTATATAATTAGGAAGGAGTAAATTAAATTGCCTTTGTTTTTCAGATGGCCTGAAAATATATACATAAAAAAACTGAAAGAATTGACATACAAACAAACAAAAACATTTGGAAATACTGAGCGGTTTTGAGAAGTTGTAAGCACAAGTTGTAATTATGTACACACAATTTAATTACCTTTTATAAATAATCAATAGACAAAAGGAATCTGAGACAAAAAAAAAACCCATAAAGCATCTGTATTGACATCTCCAAAAATGAAAGAATTAGGTGTAAATCTAGCAAAACATTTTAAGATCTCTATAAAGAAAATTAAAACAAAAACAAAGCAAAACCCACCTCTGAAAAACTAAGGAAATGGACTAATAGTCCATATTCATGGATAGGAAAGCTCTACATTAGTTAAAATGTCATTTTTTTCCCCAACTTTACCTACGAACTTGATGCAAAACAATATAAAGCCCTGCAAGGTATTTTGTAGAAAGCAACACACTGACCCACTACCCAGAATAGCCAAGAAGAACTTGGAGAAAGGATGGATGATTGACACTACTTTACCTGAAGAGGCTACAAAGCTATAATAATCCAAACACAGTTTTGTCCGTGGAAAAAGAAAAAGATGGGTTGCTTGGTGAGATAAAACCAACCTATCTCTAGAATAAAGCCACACAGATACACACAGCTAATGCTTGACAACTTAACAAAGGTAATAACACGAGTCAGTCTTCTCAATGAAAGATGCTTGAACAATTGGACATACAGGTGCAAAAAAATAAATTTATCCACAGATATTTCACCTCTCATAAAAACAGACTGAAATACTAATAAATAAAAAAAACTATAAAACATTATTAATTCCCCAGAAATCACAAATCTAGGTGCTCTTGGGTATTATGTTTTTAGTCACTGCAAGAAAAAAAAAAAAAAAACAAAAAAACAAAAAAAACAACCTGAAAACCAAAATTCAAATAAGAAAAAAAAAAATTATTTCATTTTGGATACAGATTTTAGTGATCACAGCTGACGGTTTTCTAGCTTCATTGTTCATTGTTTACTGTTTTGAGGCAGAGCATTATTGAGGAAGGATGTGGGCAGCAGAAATGCTTACCTCTTGGCAGCCAGGAAGCTGAGAAAATAGACCAGGAGAAGATGCATCATCCAAGTGCACATTTCCAGTGACCTGGGACATCAACCATGCAGGAGCATGTCAAAGTTCTTAGCACCTCCCGACAACGCCTTCTGATTGTAAGTCTATTAGCGGATCAACCTGCCTACTAGATCAGAGCCTTCACCTTCCAATAATTCCCTGGATCAGCTCGGGACCAGGCCTTCAAGACATGAGCCTTTGGGGGGACTTTATAGCTAAATCACATGAGGGATGGTGATAACTTTTGAAAATTATCATTATTTAGACACAAACACAAAAGGCATGATGCAAAAATAACTATTCTACTTCATTAAAATTACATTTATTCTAGGATGGAGAATTCGCAATTGAAATAGTCTAGACTGAGGAGGAAATGCTGCCTGGGCTGTGGTTTTGGAAAGGTTCTTGTTTACCAACTCTCTAAAATTACCTTTCCTACCAGTTCTCTGGCACCCGAATGCTTTCTTATTTGGGTGGTCTTACTCCTTTAAGTCAGGCATTGTTCCTGGAAATGAAACCTTTGTATCAGCTATTGCTGCATGACAAAACACTGACAAACTTGCTGGCTGAGAGCAACCATTTACTGTTTATAATCCTGTGGGATGGTTTGGGGAGGGCTTAGCTGCACTCTCTTCTTTGTTCTGCATGGCAGGGGTGGTGCCCACATACGCTTTTGTGGTTTAGTTGGCAAGTCAGCTGGTCCTGAGAGACCCAACTCATATTGCTTGGCTGTTAGCTGGAGTGGTGGGGTCATAGGGCAACATTTTTCTCAACGGTCCATATCATTGGCGCTGGCTTCTTCACTTGACAGCTAAAAACACTATCTTACCAGTGAACCAGACCACAAACATTTGCCTTGTGATGTTTTTGTGTTTGTTTTGTTGTTTTTGTTTTTCTTGTTTTGTTTTTATTTGTAATCTGTGCCATTAAAAACTGTCTG